CTGATTTTGCTGGTAAATACAAACTGTAAGTGTAACAAACGAATACAGGTCTACACTGCATAGTGTCTGTCATAGCACTGTATTCACACAGCAACAAGTTGAACTGCCCCTCCTCCTCTTAACTTCTCTGGCTATATTTCTGATCTTTTGTGCAGCTGAAGTGTGTCAGGACAAAGGTTAAATGCAGAGCAGTCACAAATGTCCTGATGAGTCAGAGTTGAATATATGTGTGCTTCTGAGTAATGTGGTGGTAAAGGACACATAAAGCTTCAGAAGATCTACAATGGGCAGAAACGCAAAGAGTAAAATCAGTAAGGGCGGACAAGGACCTGTCAGCCTGTTACATTTATTTCGCACAAAGGGTCATCTAGCCAAACTGTTCTTTGAAATAAGGAAGGCAAGAAGTTCTCTGCTGTAGAAACAGGAAGAAACATCTCTAATTCAAACTCCAGGTCCAAATTCCCAGTAACCATACTGTTCATCTCAAGTTGTGAGAACTTGCTGGAGTTGTAAAGTCCTCATAGCATAGCACAGCAGAGTGCTTTGGCAACTTCATACTCATTTATCTTTACATGTACTTCTCACTGGTACCTGTTTTTTATCCCAGTGCTCTTAAGGGTCTGAATGCCTGCTAGGCACCTGGCTGCACTTCCAGACTGTACACAGCATTCAGATCATGTAAAAAAGGTTTCCTGACACAATGCACCAGTCTTCATAAGAGTCTGTTTTGTGCCGAATGCCGCTGACCAGAACAAAAGGTCGAACTAGAAGTGTCCTCCAGGTAAATTATTAATGACTTGTTTTCTTTTCCACTCTGCTCCTCTGCTCTCCCTCTGTCCGTCTGCACTCCCCTTTCTCTTGCTTTGATTGTTGTTTTCTCACTCAGTCTTCCTCTCATCCCGTCGTCCCCACCTTCACCGTTGCCTTTACCCACTCTGTGCTCTCCCTCCCTCATTTTCTCTGTCTAGGTCTAGTATGGTGATGGTGTTATTTTTAGCTCTACCGAGATAGTGAGAGAGATCGTGCTGGAGTAGCACGTACTCTCCACAAGGCCTTTACTGGAGGCCTGTCAGCAGCGTGCGAGGGAAAAACAACTCAACACAAAGGCTACAGGGTGCATAGGTGTGTTTACAGTAGTATCACATAAATATTACTAAGCTGCTTTGCTTCTAGTAGAAAGCAAAGTCCTCAAGATAACTAAAGGTACAATCTGTGACGTAAACACCCTCCCAATTCACAACTGGAATACAGCCTGTTTCCAAACTAAATGGCAAAAATATGTTTATATTAATTCATGGGCATGGTTAAAATAGACAAAATGGTAGCAAGTGAAATAAATGTAATTTAAATTAATAAAATAAATAAGGTGCAGTTTCTTTTAAACATCTAATTCAGTATAATTTCTATCAAGCCTAAGCAACCGAATCATTTTTTGTGAAGTCTATGACACAACTGTTGACCTCTCAACTCACATCCAGCTACAGTAATAGGACGCCACTCAGACATCAACATAGGCTAGGCGTCAGTGTGTCAAACTGGATAACTAAAAAGCAAAAATTGTTAGTGCTGAATAAAAGATTGAGAACAACAGTATCAGCAGCTTTGCTGCTTGTAAATAGTGCCAAAAACTGTTAGCATTTAATAGCCACAAGCTAGGCACGTCCTCACTAAGGGAACAGCTGCAGAGCCCAGGTGCTGCTTTTCCAAGAACACAACTATCAAGCACTTTAAAGTAAGTAGCTGCATCGCTTAAAGTCTATTTTAATTAAGGGTTGACTCGCAGGTTTTATGTTAAAGGTCAGGTCCGGATTTCATTTAGAAATAACTCACAGGTTGGGTCCTATACTGAGCTTTGCGGGTGCGGGGTGAGTGCAGGTTTTCAAAATTAGACATGCAAGTCTCTAGTTTGGGCTGTACAACATCAGAACATACATAGTTCAAAATGAAAATAGTAATCTGGATTCAGCTAAGGATAGCGCTGTTACCTCACAGCAAGAAGGTTCCAGGTTTGAGCCCTAGCAGACCTGGTGTCTTTCTGTGCGGAGTTTGCATGTTCTCCCTGTGCCTGCGTGGGTTCTCTACAGGTACTCCGGCTTCCTCCCACAGTCCAAAGACATGCATCTTTGTTTGGTTGGTGACTCTAAATTTCCCATAGCAGTGAATGTGTGTGGTTGTTTATCAACATGTCAGCCCTGTGATAGACTGGTAACCTGTCCAGGGTGGACCCCACCTCTCGCCCAATGTCACCTGGGATTGGCTCCAGCCCTGGGTGACCCTATTCAGGAGTCAGCGGTCTAGATAATAGATGGGTGGTGGATTTAGCTAAGGATCTGGCTTTTAACCATTACTGACCAAGACATTAACTCCATACTAGCTCAAGGAGCTGACTGTGACCTCTGGCCTCATGGTAGACAGAAAGAAGCTCAGACAAGAATGAGAAAGGTATATCAAAATTAGATCAACAAAAACAAATGATTTACAGATAAAAACAGAAAGTTAAAAAAAATTTGGCTGTATCCCCCTGAAGTTTACATTGACTTGAACAAAAAAAAAAAAAAAAATTGAGAAAATAGGTCTAGAAAGATGATCTTTATCTAAAAATATATTAAATATGAAGTTGCATGTATGAGCTAGAGTCTAGATTCTATGAGCATAATTACAAGAAATTGCTACTTAAACTGAAACAGAGTAAAAAACCCTGACAGAAACACGAGGACAGTGAAGAAGCTGCCTTGCTCAGAGACCTTCGGTAAATTGCAGTGGCACTGTATTTCATTCAAGCCACAGTAATTCAGTATTATCTGAGACATCTAAGACAATACCAATTTGTTGTGCTTCCTGTCAAAACAGAATATTGCGATGAAAGGAGTGATCAGTGAGACCAATCTGATCGCATGCAACACGATAGCGAGTCTGTTATATGGAAGGGACAGCAAAGTGTTTTCTGTAAGCACAGTACACTGCTCTTCAAGAAGTACATGTGACTGAATGAATGAATATTATGGAGCTAAAAAGTAGCTGACAAGACTAACAGTTTTTCAGAGTTGTTAAAATCAGACAGTTGGTTCTTTGGTTCAAATTCAAAGAACAGAACCACTACTCGATGGATTACCATGACATTTTGTACAGATATTCATGGTCCCCACATGATGAATCCAAATGGCTTTGGTGTTGGCCTGACTTTTCCTCAGGCGCCAACATCAGGACATTTGACTAAGGTTTCCCTGAGTGGACCGGAGTAGCAGATAGTTGGATCTACCAGGGATATCAAGAATCTACTATTTTCCAGGCTTGATCAGCTCAAAAAGCATAACCTGTACCCTGTCGATCTGCAGGCAAGCCGAGACTGTTCACCTGACGGTTACTTGAGTGGGCAGCTGAGTCCAGCAGGAGATGATATTTCATCCTGGGCATCATGTCTAACTAATGCTGAACTGAGACACGGGTTACATAACTTGTATATACAGTGAATGTTAACACCGCAAAGCCTTCTTTTTAGATAAGTTGTGATTTTCCTCTAGATATAAAAAGCCCCTAGAAGAAGACAAGAGGAGCCATGTCTCACATTGCATCAAATCAATATTTACATTTTTTCTTCCTTAAAAAACATGTTGATGTCACTGCCTGTTTACTATAACTCAGAGCTGTGAGGGAGGGAGACGGTAAAACAAAAGGGGAGGAGAGCTGGAGAGGAGTCAACCGAAGAAGCTGTCTCTGTCTGAGCTCCACTTCCCAGCTTGGTAGAAACAGATTGGTAAAGGTAGTAACTCTGCTCAGTCCCCATCCACAACAGCATGTGAAATTCAGCAGTTTGATTCGAGCTTGCACCTGTGTCTTCTCTGCATATCATGTGCGTACTCTGAAAATCTCCTTAGTCACATGTTTCAACACCTCTTACACAACAGTTTCATATCAGATACTGAGCCAAAATGGGATCAATCAATAAAGGTTTGGGGGGTTTTATGTCAGTAACTGCTGCAAAGATATATGCATATGAGTTCTACTAAAATAAAAATGCACATATAGCAGTGGAAATAAACAGTAGTTCAAACAATGTAGCACGTCACCATGGCCAAAATAAAAGTGTTAAATTAGATAATTTTGCATCTCTGATTCTACTGATCACATTTTTTCCCATGATGTGAATGGGCAATGTAGTTTCAATGAAATGTTCTGTATATATTCCATTTCTGGTTATGATTGATATTGTTTGGTCATATGCTCTCTCACCTACCCAGTCCTTTGGTCAAATGCTGCTGACAGACATCTACAGAAAACAGCCAGCATAGTTATCCCTAGTTCCTCCTATGCTAACATGTGTGAGATGCATAAGCAATTATTATGCTGTAGAGGCTGAATTATCTACTTTTATGCGAAACATCATCGCGCTGATTTTGTCATGGGTATAATACATGTGACATGAGCACTGGTCATCTGAATGTGCCATGTCCTTGAACATATTATATGATGAGAATGGTTCTCTAAAGACAAATGCAGGTAGCAGAAAGAAGTCGATAAACCTTTACTGCAGTGGCATCTCACTTTGCAAACTTGTTTGCCTTTTAACGTGCCATCTACACAGGACGTAAGGATGTGTTAAGCAAAAATCTGACCAGGTTTATAACATATTGTACAGCGTAAGGAACAGACAGAGCTGGAAAACTGGAACAAACATGGAATATGCTTCCCAGTGACATAAGAAAGATCAAAAGTACTTTCTTTAAAAACGTCCTTAACCAAAAACTGATTAATCTAAAAAGATATTATTGCTGTTTTCTTTTTTGTTGCAATGACAATTGTGTTGTTCTGCAGTCTGCCATTTCATATGTAGAGTTGTATTACTTACCTTTAAGTATGCCTTGTTGCATTTTATTGTTTGATAATGTGCAATGTGTAATTTAAATTATGTGTATTCTGTTAACATTAATGCTCAGTGCTTGTGCAGGGTACTGTGGCGTTCACTATGTTGCAAGCTTGACAGGAGGTGCAGATAAACAAACCTCTGTGACATCACAGCTCCAGCAGTGTGACCTCGGAGGGGAGGCCGAGGGGCAGCCGATCTTGGCCGGCCCACTGCTCCACATCAAGGTGATGAGGTGGGGAGTAGCGGACCTTGGAGTCCTCTCCCGCTATAGTGAAATGAGTGATGCTGCTGCTCGTGTGTGTGTGTGTGTGTGTGTGTGTGTGTGTGTGTGTGTGTGTGTGTGGCAGAGTGATGTAGGAGGTGTGGCATCTGAGAGCAAGGCAGGACAGAAGTGAATTAAGTTGAGGAGGTGGTCACATAACAGCAGGGTTCAGGCAGAGTTGAAGCCACTTGCTCACTGTGTTTCAGCTGGTAACATTTACCTCGGCTCCTACCCCATAAATGTTTATGTGACTGTGTGCGCACATGGGCATGTAAAGGAGCTCTAAAACACATACATATGCCTGGATTTTTACAATGGAAAATAAATACAAAACCAGAACTCCCTCTTTAAGACACACACACACCTTTTGACAAACATCTATTACAGCAAGAAGAAATGTGAAGCTAATGTGTGAAATTACATGTGTTGACATATCAACTGTTTTACATGCTTGAATGAATAAATCAAATCAAATCAAATCAAATCAAAAATCCCCTCCTTCCCCTAAAATCCAGCTCTCTTCTGCTCAGGCTCACAAAAAGGTGACAGACTGCTTTTTCCAACTCTCTTTTAAACAATGATAAATACACACACACTTGCACTACACCATCACATCACTGACCACAGAAAGTGGCACAATATCTCATTGCGCT